TGCAAACCGAGAGGAAATGCAACTAATTTAAATACTTCCCTTATATCAAATGTGCATACTATACATAAGCTCTAGTATGTGTTAGCAACCGAATGTCTCACTTTCGGTTAACAATTGAATGTATTGCACTCTGCTGTATATAGCGAAACGAATTACATGCATGAAAGAACGGATTATCGTAGGAATATATCAAAAAGAAGAATACTATCAATAAAGTCTTACGGTATTAAATAGCTGGTCCACAATCTCGCTTTTCTCCATAGATCCATCCTTAATTCCCCGAATAAGTCTTTCAAAGGTTTCCTGCGGCGTCTCATCGCTACTATGGATAATAGTGGTTTTCGACATGATCCTTGGTAGGGATGCAACAGCTTCAGCCTGAACAAACACATGGCGAGCTTAGCATCGCATTAGTTGAAATATGAAAGAAAATGGGGAAGTTGCTGAATGAAACAAATGTTAAAATTTGCGTAAACAAGATAATCCCAACTCCAACCACTAGAAGATTTGCACCATCACACCGACAAGATCTGACATTTAGGCGGATTTCTGCCGTGATTGATATGAAACTATGCGAATAGGTCAAGGAGTCACAAAAAGAAGATGAAAAAAGGCAGTAATTTCTCTAAAGCCAAAGTACACCATAAATTTTTCAAAGTTCCTCTTTCGTAATAATAATAATAATCCGCCTGAATAATCACTCTTGTCCAAACCAAAATGTAAGCTAAGCACTCAAGCCCACAATATTTTTAGGACGAATAAAGGTCAGAACAACAAGTGAAGACACACGCTGACAGGAGTCGCAGCTCTTGAATCACGTCTTGCAAAATTTGCAATACTGCCACGACGACTCGGCGGTACAGAGGGCGAAGGCGTCGTCGGCTGGGTGAGGTCCAGCTCAATTTCGTCACCGAGCGCCCCAGATGCGTCGCTCAGTATTTCCATAAGACGTGTTGGAAGCACAACCTAAGACAATAGGGGAAACGCATGCAATAACGCAAAATCAAACTGAAATCCGATCTGATGCCCACATGCAAAACATAGGAATATAGCGAACAACAGA